GCACCCCCACAGCATGATGCTGCCACCTCCGTGCTTCAAGGTTGGGATGGTGTTCTTCGGCTTGCAAGCGCCCCCCTTTTTCCTCCAAACATAACGATGGTCATTATGGCCAAACAGTTCTATTTTTGTTTCATCAGACCAGAGCACATTTCTCCAAAAAGTACAATCTCTGTCCCCATGTGCAGTTGCAAACCGTAGTCTGTTTTTTTATGGCGGTTTTGGAGCAGTGGCTTCTTCCTTGCTGAGTGGCCTTTCAGGTTATGTCGATATAGGACTTGTTTTACTGTCTATATAGATACTTTTGTACCTGTTTCCTCCAGCATCTTCACAATGTCCTTTGTTATTGATCTGGGATTGATTTACACTTTTCGCACCAAAGTGCGAAAAGTCTCCTTCCTGAGTGGTATGACGGCTGCGTGGTCCCATGGTGTTTATACTTGCATACTATTGTTTGTACAGATGAATGTGGTACCTTCAGGGGTTTGTAAATTGCTCCCAAGGATGAACCAGACTTGTGGAGGTCTATAATTTTTTTTCTGAGGTCTTGGCTGATTTATTTTGATTTTCCCATGATGTCAAGCAAAGAGGCACTGAGTTTGAAGGTAGATCTTGAAATACATCCACAGGTACACCTCCAATTGACTCAAATGATGTCAATTAGCCTATCAGAAGCTTCTAAAGCCATGACATCATTTTCTGGAATTTTCCAAGCTGTATGAAGGCACAGTCAACTTAGTTTATGTAAACTTCTGACCCACTGGAATTGTGATACAGTGAATTAGTGGGGGGAAAAAGTATTTAGACAGCCACCAATTGTGCAAGTTCTCCCACTTAAAAAAGATGAGAGAGGCCTGTAATTTTCATCATAGATACACGTCAACTATGACAGACAAATTGAGAGAAAAAAAATCCAGAAAATCACATTGTATTTTTAATGAATTTATTTGCAAATTATGGTGGAAAATAAGTATTTGGTCACCTACAAACAAGCAATATTTCTGGCTCTCACAGACCTGTAACAACTTATTTTAAGAGGCTCCTCTGTCCTCCACTCGTTACCTGTATTAATGGCACCTGTTTGAACTTGTTATCAGTATAAAAGACACCTGTCCACAACCTCAAACAGTCACACTCCAAACTCCACTATGGCCAAGACCAAAGAGCTGTCAAAGGACACCAGAAACAAAATTGTAGACCTGCACCAGGCTGGGAAGACTGAATCTGCAATAGGTAAGCAGCTTGGTTTGAAGAAATCAACTGTGGGAGCAATTATTAGGAAATGGAAGACATACAAGACCACTGATAATCTCCCTCGATCTGGGGCTCCACGCAAGATCTCACCCCGGGGTTCAAAATGATCACAAGAACGGTGAGCAAAAATCCCAGAACCACACAGGGGGACCTAGTGAATGACCTGCAGAGAGCTGGGACCAAAGTAACAAAGCCTACCATCAGTAACACACTACACCGCCAGGGACTCAAATCCTGCAGTGCCAGACGTGTCCCCCTGCTTAAGACAGTACATGTCCAGGCCCGTCTGAAGTTTGCTAGAGTGCATTTGGATGATCCAGAAGAGGATTGGGAGAATGTCATATGGTCAGATGAAACCAAAATAGAACATTTTGTTGTGTTTTTTTCGTTGTGTTTGGAGGACAAAGAATGCTGAGTTGCATCCAAAGAACACCATACCTACTGTGAAGCATGGGGGTGGAAACATCATGCTTTAGGGCTGTTTTTCTGCAAAGGGACCAGGACGACTGATCAGTGTAAAGGAAATAATGAATGGGGCCATGTATCGTGAGATTTTGAGTGAAAACCTCCTTCCATCAGCAAGGTCATTGAAGATGAAACGTGGCTGGGTCTTTCAGCATGACAATGATCCCAAACACACCGCCCGGGCAACGAAGGAGTGGCTTCGTAAGAAGCATTAAGGTCCTGGAGTGGCCTTGCCAGTCTCCAGATCTCAACCCCATAGAAAATTCTTTGGAGGGAGTTGAAAGTCCGTGTTGCCCAGCGACAGCCCCAAAACATCACTGCTCTAGAGGAGATCTGCATGGAGGAATGGGCCAAAATACCAGCAACAGTGTGTGAAAACCTTGTGAAGACTTACAGAAAACGTTTGACCTGTGTCATTGCCAACAAAGGGTATATAACAAAGTATTGAGAAACTTTTGTTATTGACAAAATACTTATTTTCCACCATAATTTGCAAATAAATTCATTAAAAATCCTACAAATGTGATTTTCTGGATTTCTTTCCCTCATTCTGTCTGTCATAGTTGACATGTACCTATGATGAAAATTACAGGCCTCATCTTTTTAAGTGGGAGAACTTGCACAATTGGTGGCTGACTAAATACTTTTTTCCCCCACTGTATAAGTGAAATAATCTGTCTGTAAACAATTGTTGGAAAAATTACTTGTGTCATGCAAAGTAGATGTCCTAACAGACTTGCCAAAACTATAGTTTGTTAAAAAGAAATTTGTGGAGTGGTTGAAAAACAAGGTTTAATGACTCCAACCTAAGTGTATGTAAACGTCAACTGTATACATACATTCATTCCCCATAGAGCATCTGAAGAGTGAGCCACCATTCAAGCACTTTCTTCAAAGAATATATATTTATTAGGTTGGCATAGCAACACATCAGGAAGCTAGCTAAAACAGTATCTCAGAAAAATAGGTATTGAATAAATCCACATGAAAGTTTTACATTCAACAAATACCTAGCAGAGTGATCGTGGACAATTGTGTATTTGTGGTGTTGTGTCTGTATATCTAGAATTCATAAAGAGTTCACAGACAAGATAGGCAGAACAATATACAAACACAGAGGATAGGACAATACTGACTACACACAGTTTTACAAGTGCAAAGTGAACCTTTGTAGAGCAGAGCAAAGTCCTTCATTGTGTGTTTGGCTGTGATAAGTGGTTAACTTGTCATCAGGTGACATCATTGTAATAGAGAATTCAACAGTGGAAAAATATATAAAAATACCATCTATTCTATTATTGGGTAATCTGCTTTTTATATGGCCATATTCAATTTCACAGCATCCTCAGATGCCAATGTGTCAGGTTAAAATAACTACTATACACTGAGTATACCAAACATGAAGATCACCTTCCTAATATTGAGTTGCACCCCACCCCCTTTTGCACTCAGAACAGCCTCAATTCGTCGGGGCATGGACCCTACATGGTGTCGAAAGCGTTCCACAGGGATATTGGCCCATGTTGACCCCAATGCTTCCCACAGTTGTGTCAAGTTGGCTGGATGACCTTTGGCTGGTGGACTATTCTTGATACACACAGGAAACTGTTGAGCATGAAAAACCCAGCAGCGTTGCAGTTCTTGACACACTCAAACCGGTGCGCCTGGCACCTACTAAAATACTCAGTTCAAAGGCACTTAAATATTTTGTCTTGCCCATTCACCCTCTGAATAGCATACATACACAATCCATGTCTCAAGGCTTAAAAGTCCTTCTTTAACCAGTCTCCTCCCCTTCAGCTACACTGATTGAAGTGAATTTAACAAGTGACATCAATAAGGGATCTTTCACCTGGTCAGTCTGTCATGGAATGAGCAGCTGTTCTTAATGTTTTGTATACTCAGTGTATAAAATACATTTTCCTCCATATTACATCAGTGGGTTGGTCTGGGCTGGGGTTTAGCTATGATGCTTAGATATAATGTCACATCCTGTCACATGTTAAGGGATCCCCCTTTTCAGATCTAAAGAGATACTGACAGTTGTGCAGGGTTTTGTTGTTTGGTTACATTTGGATACACCAACATTACAAAACAGCATCTTTGTAGACTGCCAACATTCTTACTCCAATTCTCAGCATAAACAAACAGATGCTTGAAATATCCTTTAAAAAATGTTTTACATAAACACTTGGTATTTGAAACAAACAGCATTCTAGCAGCGACGTGACATGTTGATGCCCTCAGTATTAGAACTGTCCATTTCAACGTGGTTTACCAGACAAACATCTCAGCTGTAACAAAGTCCTTACATTGGAAGACAAACAGTGAAATACATGTAATACAATTATGAGGCTTAAGAAACTTGTATAAATATGTTTAACTCAGCAGTTCGTAGAGTAAAATATATTTTGGACCATTTTAATTGAACACAATCACAGTGAGGTACTTAATTGTTACCCAGAAATTTGATAGAGATAAATGGCTGCATTGGACCTTTAATAAAATAGTATGTCACACCATCAATCATACAATAACCTAGTTTTACCCCAATACAGTGGCCTGAAACTCATGGTTTACAGGCCACATCAAGCCTGCAAGTCACATTTATGCTGGCTTGCAAAGTAATGTGTAATTCCAATTGGAATTCAGCCAGTGGGAATATCCAACATTAGGAATGTGTATTCACCCAACCTTTATTCAGAATGACTGCAAGGGTTGGGAAGACTAAGATATGAGAGTACCTAAAGCATCTAAACTGGACAACCATTTCAGTAATGGGTGCAATAAGTCCAAGTAACATATTGGATTAGTTTAGGAAAATGTATGTTATTTATATTTGAGTAGCACAACATTAAATCAATCAATCAACGTACATGCAAAAACATAGAATTACATATTTTTTTTTGAAAAATTAACCTGCAATTGAGCATGCTGGGAAATATGATGGGCCTGGTTTTGGTTCAACATTGGTTATTAACAGACACTGGGGTTATATTACACCACTCAGTGTCAATTTAACACTTACAGATTTAACGTTAATCCTGAATCAACACAAAACTAATTACACTGAAAAATCAACACTAGGTAACACTGGCCAATTTGCTGTGTATATTAAAGCATACAACACACATGTACAGCACACCGCAATCCATCCCTCTCTTCATCCCTCCCTCCGCCAGCGTGTGTACTTTTATGTCCATCCCTATTGGCAGTGTTTTATAAAGATTGTCAGTCTCTCTCTTGTAATCAATTAACAAATATCCCCTCTCTTTTGCTCTCTCTCACAGAGCTGTCTCTGGGTTCCCCAACCCTCCATTCTTCTCCGCTCCCTCTTTTGCCTCTACGGAGCCGCCACTCACCCCCGCCGGCTGCGCTCTCTCATGGTCTCCTCCATCCGTCTCCAGCAGACTGTTGAGCTTCTCCATCTCTGCGGGGGCTCCATTCTCTAAATTGGCCTCAGGCTCATCTGGCTTCTTCTTGATGCACAGGAAGTTGCCCATGCAGATGACGATGGAGGCCAGAATGACCTCACAGCCAGCCAGCAGAAACACATACATGTAGTTATGGGTGGCGTCCAGCAGACGACCTACGGGAGAGGAGAGAGGTTATAGGAGGAGAGTTTATTACGTCCTATCCATTCAAGACATAAGCAGTTTATTACTAGCTAAAATGTTATGTTGTCATTCCTGTCTATACTGGCTTCTGATTATTTGACGACTTCGTTCTAACCCTAACTCCATGTCCACACCTCGGCTCAGCCCTAACCTTACCATTACAAAAAAAGATTGTCGTTTTGAAACTGCAGTCGACTGTGGTATTTTGGATGCAGTAATTGCAGCATACTGCAATTATACTGCACTCTAACTGCAATCTTTTTTTCGGAAGTGTATCCATAACCCTAAATCCCCCAAGTCCTCATGGATTTTTGGAGTAGCGAAAACCTTTTGGTAAAATGAGATCCTCGCTGGCCCCACTCTCATTCACAAGAGGGCGATAGCAACGTTTATTTTTGTCTTTTCATTTTGTGAAAGCAAGAAAGAGTCACCTTCCCTTGCTAGTAGTAGCTAGCTGGCAGCATGGCTGGCTTTAGCCAGGCAAAAACTATAGCAAGCTACCTAGCCTTTTTAGCTTCCCACATCTCCATGTGAAATAATCAGATTTATAATTAACAATTATGCCCTGGCAAATATTCTTATACTTGCTGGTCTAACCTAAAACATTATCCCAGTTTGATATGCTGCTTGTGTATTCAGTCCCATAATCAGCAAAAAATAGAACGTCATCATGTTTTGGTCAGGCAGACAAAAGCACATGGGTAGCTAGTTGGCTACAGCAGGTTCTACCATTTCACAATATCCTGTAATCACTATTATTATTATTACTACTAAACAAAATACCTTTTTGGGTAGATTCTTGTTGTTTGGTTTACTGTTTGAACAGTCGCTGAGATTATATTTTGTTATCAATGCAAAATAGGCTACTTTGATAAATAGCCTATAGATCAGATCAAGGAAGCAAGTGACAACACTGCCCCCATGGCTGCGGAAGGAATGATACGGCACGTCTCAATTTTCAGGTAGTAAAAAAAGTATGTTGAAGTATGTGTATTACAAGGCCTTTTGTTACGAAAAACGACATTGCAACACTCCGAATCTTGAGTCTGCGTAGATCTTGTAGTAAGCATAACCTTATCCATAACCCTAACTCCATGTCCACACCCCGGCTCAACCAGAACCCTCAACCCTAACCCATAGCTTCATGTCCACACCCCGGCTCAACCCTAACCTTAGCCATAACCCTAACCCTAGCCTAATGTCAACACCCCAGCTCAACCTTAACCATAACCCTAGCATCATGGCCACACTCTGGCTCAACCCTAACCATAGCTTCATGTCCGCAGCCTGGTTGAACCCTAACACTAGCCATAACCCTAATCCTAACTCTAACCTAATCCTCACCTAACCCTTCTGTGTGTACTGACCTGCTCCAGGCGGTCCCACCAGCACAGCAATAGCCTCCATGAGCAACACCAGTCCTAAAGCACTGGAGAACTTCTTGGTGCCCACAATGGCCATGAGAACCTCGAACTGCAGCGCCCCCACCATCCCGTAAGAGAGCCCGAAGAAGATACAGAACACCACCAGACCAGGGTAGTCTGTCGCCTGCCAAAAGAGAAGCAACACCCTTGGTTATATAATTCACAACAACATGATACGACCATAGAAATATAATGACCATTACTGATTAATCATTCAAATTCTATGGATACAATAGCGTCGGGTCTCGAAGGCCGCAGTGTCCACAATTATACACTATATATACACACAAATGTTTGTGGACACCACTTCAAATTAGTGGATTAGGCTATTTCAGCCACACCCGTTGCTGACAGGTGTATAAAATCGAGCACACAGACATGCAATCTCCATTGACAAACATTGGCAGTAGAATGGCCTTACTGAAGAGCTCAGTGACTTTCAATGTGGCACCATCATAGGATGCCACCTTTCCCACAAGTCATTTTGTCAAATTTCTGCCCCGCTAGAGCTTTCCTGGTCAACTGTAAGTGCTGTTATTGTGAAGTGGAAACGTCTAGGAGCAACAACGGCTCAGCCGCAAAGTGGTAGGCCACACAAGCTCACAGAACGGGACCGCCGAGTGCTGAAGCGCGTAAAAATAGTCTGTCCTCAGTTGCAACACTCACTACTGAGTATCAAACTGCCTCTGGAAGCAACATCAGAACAAGAACTGTTCGTCAGGAGCTTAATGAAATGGGTTTCCATGGCCGAGCAGCTGCACACAAGCCTAAGATCACCATGCGCAAGCAATGCCAAGTGTCTGCTGGAGTGGTGTAAAGCTCGCCACCATTGGACTCTGGAGCAGTGGAAACACGTTCTTTGGAGTGATGAATCACGCTTCACCATCTGGCAGTCCGACAGACAAATCTGGGTTTGGCGGATGCCAGGAGAACGCTACCTGCACCAATGCATAGTGCCAACTATAAAGTTTGGTGGAGCAGGAATAATGGTCTGGGGCTGTTTTTCATGGTTCGGGCTAGGCCCCTTAGTTCCAGTGAAGGGAAATCTTAACATTCTAGATGATTCTGTGCTTCCAACTTTGTGGCAACAGTTTGGGGAAGGCCCTTTCCAGTTTCAGCATTACAATGCCCCTGTGCACAAAGCGAGGTCCATATAGAAATAGTTTGTCGAGATCGGTGTGGAAGACCTTGACTGGCCTGCACAGAGCCCTGACTTCAACCCCATCGAACGCCTTTGGGATGAATTTGAACGACGACTGCGAGCCAGGCCAAATTGCCCAACATCAGTGCCTGACCTCACTAATGCTCATGGCTGAATGGAAGGAAGTCCCTGCAGCAATGTTCCAACATCTAGTAGAAAGCATTCACAGAAGAGTGGAGACTGTTATAGCAGCAAAGGGGGACCATGATTTTGGAATGGTAATGTAGTGTGTGTCAATACAGAAATGTAATAACGATACAATACACAGATTACATATTGTTTATGTATTGTTTACATCCCATAGAAATACCACACAAATAATATCAATAAAAACAAGTTCCAGACTTACCTGTGAGCTGATCACGTCGGTGATGCCATTAAAGAGTATGGCGAAGCTGAACAGATATACACATCTGGGCCGGACCCACTTCATCCCTGCAATCAGCCCACATGTGGGACGGGCAAAGATATCAACGAACCCCAAGATGGTGAGGAGGAGGGCAGACTTGGTGTCTTCATTCCCCATCTCCTTGGCATAGCTCACCACAAACACGGGTGGCACAAAAAGACCCAGTACCATGATGGACGCAGCTATGGCATAGATGAGGAAACCTCGGTCTTTAAATACGCTAAAGTCCAGGAGCTTTTTCTTAAGTTGGGGCTTTTTTTCTGCTTCGCCCACAGCCTGCAACTCCTTGTCCTGGGGCTTCTTGGGGCCCACCAGGGGCCTCATCAGGGCCCCACAGGCGCAGCAGTTGAGCAGCAGGCCCCCCAAGATGAGGAAGCCGCCTCTCCAGCCATAGTGGTACTGCAGCACCTTTGGGGAGAAATATGAAGAAAAACATTAACGATGATCCATACTGATCTACAACTGCAGAGAGCGAGACTGAAGAGGTGTAGTACCTGTCCCAGAGGAGAGAGGCAGCAGAGGGCCACAGGGCTCCCGGCAGCAGACAGTCCGTTAGCTAGAGGCCTCCTCTCACTAAAGTAACGATTCAGCATGATCAGAGACGGCTGGAAGTTCAGCGCCAGCCCCAGACCTTGTAGACAGGGGGCAAACTGTTTTTAAAGTGTGTGTGTGTGTGTGTGTGTGTGTGTGTGTGTGTGTGTGTACCCACCAGTAAAAACTCCAGTAGCGGTAGATGTGTGTATTTATTTACTAACCTGTTATAACTCCAGTACAGATGTAGATGTGGATGATACTGGTGGCCAAGGAGGCCAGGATCATTCCCAAGGAGGCAAAGAGCCCTCCCACCATCATCACTGGCCGACACCCAAACTTGTTCACCAGCACACTGCACAGTGGACCTACACACACACACACACACAGTCAGAACTAACTGTGCCTAGGGCCAGTACAAGCAGGGTATAAAAAAAAAAGCATTCCAGTTCTCTGCCCCCTCCACTTGGAACGATCTACAACAGGACATGAAATTACAGGAGCTCGTCTCTTTGAATGAGTTTAAATATACAATCTATGGTGGACAATGGCAGTGGCGTAGCGCAGTTTCGTGGGGCCCCACGCAAGGTCCAAGCAAGGTCCCCCCACCAGGATTTAGGATAGTTTTTTTGTGCCATGGTGCAGAGCGAAAAATGTGCCGTTTTATAGCTCAGCGATGCTTGAAAAATACTAACTGGGTTTATCTCAACTCAGTCAGACACCATAAAAAGGCATTTCATTCGGTTGTTCAATTCTACACAAAAAAATGCTGGGTTAAAACAACCCAGCGCTGGGTAAATAGTGGACAGAACACACATAGGTTTTTTTTGACCCAGCCAGTTGGGTCACTTAGTAGAGGGGACGGGGGTGCTGTAGGATTATTTAAGATACTGTTTGAAGAGGTAGGGTTTCAATGTTTTCAGAAGAATGTCAGGGACTCTGCTTCAGGGGGAAGATGGTTCCACCATTGGGGTGCCAGGACAGAGAAGAGCTTTGACTGGGCTGAGCGGGAGCTGCCCTTCCGTAAGGGTGGGATTGTCAAGAGACCAGAGGTGTCATAGCGGAGTACTTGGGTTGAGGTGTAGTGTTTGAACATAGACTGAAAGTAAGGGGGGGAGTGCAGGCCAGTCTCTGTGCAGGCCAGTCAAGTTCTTCCACACCGATCTCGACAAACTATTTCTGTATGGACCTCGCTTTGTGCACGGGGGCATTGTAATGCTGAAACTGGAAAGGGCCTTCCCTAAACTGTTGCCACAAAGTTGGAAGCACAGAATCATCTAGAATGTTAAGATTTCCCTTCACTGGAACTAAGGGGCCCAGTGGAGTGTACAGAGGAGCGGGGTGACATGGGAGAACTTGGGAAGGTTGAACACTAGGCAGCTTGCTGCGTTCTCGATAAGCTGCAGGGGATTGACGGCACAAGTGGGGAGCCCAGCCAACAGAGAGTTGTAGTAGTCCAGACGGGAGATGACAAATGCCTGGATTATGACCTGCGCCGCTTCCTATGTAAGGTAGAGTCGAACTCTACAGATGTTACAGAGCATGAACCTGCAGGAGAGAGTCACTGCTGTGATGTTTGCAGAGAACAACAGGGTGTTGTCCAGGGTCATGCCAAGGTTATTTGCACTCTGGGAGGGGGACAGTGGTAGTTGTCAACCGTGATGGAGGTCTTGGAGTGGGCAGGCCTTCCCTGGGAGGAAGAGCAGCTCAGTTTTGTCGAGGTTGAGCTTGAGGTGGTGAAATAACACATATGGAATCATGTAGTAACCAAAAAAGTGTTTAACAATAAAAATACACTGCTCAAAAAAATAAAGGGAACACTAAAATAACATCCTAGATCTGAATGAATGAAATAATCGTATTAAATACTTTTTTCTTTACATAGTTGAATGTGCTGACAACAAAATCACACAAAAATGATCAATGGAAATCAAATTTATCAACCCATGGAGGTCTGGATTTGGAGTCACCCTCAAAATTAAAAGTGGAAAACCACACTACAGGCTGATCCAACGTTGATGTAATGTCCTTAAAACAAGTCAAAATGAGGCTCAGTAGTGGGTGTGGCCTCCACGTGCCTGTATGACCTCCCTACAACACCTGGGCATGCTCCTGATGAGGTGGCGGATGGTCTCCTGAGGGATCTCCTCCCAGACCTGGACTAAAGCATCCGCCAACTCCTGGACAGTCTGTGGTGCAACGTGGTGTTGGTGGATGGAGCGAGACATGATGTCCCAGATGTGCTCAATTGGATTCAGGTCTGGGGAACGGGCGGGCCAGTCCATAGCATCAATGCCTTCCTCTTGCAGGAACTGCTGACACACTCCAGCCACATGAGGTTTGGCATTGTCTTGCATTAGGAGGAACCCAGGGCCAACCGCACCAGCATATGGTCTCACAAGGGGTCTGAGGATCTCATCTCGGTACCCAATGGCAGTCAGGCTACCTCTGGCGAGCACATGGAGGGCTGTGCGGCCCCCCAAAGAAATGCCACCCCACACCATGACTGACCCACCGCCAAACCGGTCATGCTGGAGGATGTTGCAGGCAGCAGAAAGTTCTCCACGGCGTCCCCAGACTCTGTCACGTCTGTCACATGTGCTCAGTGTGAACCTGCTTTCATCTGTGAAGAGCACAGGGCGCCAGTGGCGAATTTGCCAATCTTGGTGTTCGCTGGCAAATGTCAAACGTCCTGCATGGTGTTGGGCTGTAAGCACAACCCCCACCTGTGGACGTCGGGCCCTCATACCACCCTCATGGAGTCTGTTTCTGACTGTTTGAGCAGACACATGCACATTTGTGGCCTGCTGGAGGTCATTTTGCAGGGCTCTGGCAGTGCTCCTCCTGCTCCTCCTTGCACAAAGGCGGAGGTAGCAGTCCTGCTGCTGGGTTGTTGCCCTCCTACAGCCTCCTCCACGTCTCCTGATGTACTGGCCTGTCTCCTGGTAGCGCCTCCATGCTCTGGACACTACGCTGACAGACACAGCAAACCTTCTTGCCACAGCTCGCATTGATGTGCCATCCTGGATGAGCTGCACTACCTGAGCCACTTGTGTGGGTTGTAGACTCCGTCTCATGCTACCACTAGAGTGAAAGCACCACCAGCATTCAAAAGTGACCAAAACATCAGCCAGGAAGCATAGGAACTGAGAAGTGGTCTGTGGTCACCACCTGCAAAACCAGTCCTTTATTGGGGGGTGTCTTGCTAATTGCCTATAATTTCCACCTGTTGTCTATTCCATTTGCACAACAGCATGTGAAATGTATTGTCAATCAGTGTTGCTTCCTAAGTGGACAGTTTGATTTCACAGAAGTGTGATTGACTTGGTGTTACATTGTGTTGTTTAAGTGTTCCCTTTATTTTTTTGAGCAGTGTATATATTTGAGATTCTTCAAAGTACCCACCCTTTGCCTTGATGACAGCTTTGCACACTCTTGGCATTCTCTAAACCAGCTTCACCTGGAATGCTTTTCTAACAGTCTTGATGGAGTTCCCAAATATGCTGAGCACTTGTTGGCTGCTTTTCCTTCACTCTGCTGTCCAACTCATCCCAAACCATCTCAATTGGGTTGAGGTCGGGTGATTGTGGAGGCCAGGTCATCTGATGCAGCACTCCATCATTCTCCTTTATGGTCAAATAGCCCTTACACAGCCTGGAGGTGTGTTGTGTCATAGTCCTGTTGAAAAACAAATGATAGTGGGACTAAGCGCAATCCAGATGGGATGGCGTATCGCTGCAGAATGCTGTGGTAGCCATGCTGGTTAAGTGTGCCTTGAATTCTGAAGAAATCACAGACAGTGTCACCAGCAAAGCACCCCTACATGCGGAGATCATCCGATCACCTACACTGCGCCTCACAAAGACACAGCGGTTAGAAACAAAAATCTAAAAATCTAAGATTTGTTTAACACTTTTTTGGTTACTACATGATTCCATATGTGTTATTTCATAGTTTCGATGTCTTCACTATTATTCTACAATGTAGAAAATAGTAAAAAATAAAGAAAAACCCTTGAATGAGTAGGTGTCCAAACGTTTGACTGGTGCTGTATATATAATAACTCTCCCAACATTGGGATATGCATATGCACTTGAGGAACTCAATCTTGTGTAAGCCTCATACATTTTACATTTTAGTCATTTAGCAGACGCTCTTATCCAGAGTGACTTACAGGAGCAATTAGGGTTAAGTGCCTTGCTTAAGGGCACAGACAGATTTTTTACCTAGTCGGCTCGGGGATTAGAACCAGCGACCTTTCGGTTACTGGCACAACGCTCTTACCCACTAAGCTACCTGCCGCCATAAAAGTTACAAAATTGTCAGTGCTCAACCTTAACATGTGATGACAACACAACAGCACTGGAATTACATTTACTCACAGGTGGCCAAAAATAACTATTTGAAAGCCTCAACTAAGCCACGCTTTCTGTCTTCTGATCTGACCCGGTGAGTCATAGCTCAATAACCCAGCATTAATAACCCAACTGAAAGGCGCTACATGGCTAATCTGATATCTGCATTGGCCATGCAGCATTTACAGTGATACAGCCTCTGCAGAAGTTTCAAATTAAATCAATGTTTATTTGTCACATGCGCCGAATACAACAGGTGTAGACCTTACAGTGAAATGCTTACTTACAAACCCTTAACAATGCAAATAGTCCGGGTAGCCATTTGATTAGCTGTTCATTAATCTTATGGCTTGGGGGTAGAAGCTGTTAAGAAGCCTTTTGGACCTAGACTTGGCACTCCGGTACCGCTTGCCATAGCAGAGAGAACAGTCTATGACTAGGGCCTTCCTCTGACACCGCCTGGAATAGAGGTCCTGGATGGCAAGATGCTTGGCCCCAGTGATGTACTGGGCCGTACGCACTACCCTCTGTAATGCCTTGCGGTTGGAGGCCGAGCAGTTGCCATACCAGGCGGTGATGCAATTAGTCAGGATGCTCTCAATGGTGCAGCTGTAGAACTATGAGGATCTGGGAACCCATGCCAAATCTTTTCAGTCTCCTGAGGGGAATAGGCATGGTCGTGCCCTCTTCACGACTGTCTTGGTGTGTTTGGACCATGATAGTTTGTTGGTGATGTGGACACCAAGGAACTTGAAGCTCTCAACCTGTTCCACTACAGCACCGTCGATGAGAATGGGGGCGTGCTCAGTCCTCCTTTTCCTGTAGTCCACAATCATTTGTCTTGATCACGTTGAGGGAGAGGTTGTTATCCTGGCACCACATGGCCAGGTCTCTGACCTCCTCCCTATAGGCTGTCTCATCGTTGTCGGTGATCATGCCTACCACTGTTGTGTCGTCGGCAAACTT